ATATGAGTAGGAAATCACCAGGAAAAAAAATATTGCAAAGTCGATTCACAAGTGAATTGTAATTCCAATCGGATTACAATCCCAAAGTTGGCAACCGATCTATAAAAACCCCATCAATCCTTACAAATAAAACCACAACACCTGCGTAGCATCAAGTAACAAACGTAGCTTCAATTATTTTTTTTTTCTGCATCACTATGTTTTCTCTCTAGATTTTAACAAATTTAGGACTATTGTTGGTGTGTATTACATGTATATGATTGAGTGTTCTGACCTGCTATGAGTTTTGCATGCGTTTGGTTTTGCTCAACTGAATCTCGATTCCATGCTTTTATTTGAAATTTCAGCTTTAATTTGAGTCGCTCCATTTTGTGCAATTATGTGTTCTGTTCTTTCTCAATAGAATTTTGATTATGGATTTCTTTGTACAACTGATTTTACTTCCCTTTGATATTTCAATACTTTTTGTTGTTGTTTTTTTTTAAATTTTTTATTTTTTGTTTTCCCCAATTGTAAATATCTTGCAAATCATTGTAGGAGTCGGTGTCTTTTTCGGCCAAGAATAATGATTCTGATTCATTGGTTTGAAATATGAGTTTCCTTTCTGAGGTTTATAGTCGTTCTTTCGAATCAATTATGCTTCTCTTTTGGTTTCCCTAATTTCTATTTCCTAACTAATATAGTCGTTCTGAGGTTTTTTGGCTCAATCTACTAACATAAGACCATTTATTTTGCTGATATAACTATCTACTTCTATGTTTTAGTTTTCGTTGATGGTTTGGATTCTGTGTAGAAACTTAGCTGTTTGTTGACGATGTGGCCAGCCAAAATCGAACCTTCTTCCAATTCCAAGGCTGCTGTCAAACGTCTTGACAAAGAAAATGGCTATGTTCGACCATCATCTATTGATGTTCCCTTCGTGCTTATTTCCTTGTTGGCTGCTTATCTTGTGATCTCTTTCTGGGTTTTTAGTTTTTTTTTTTAGCAGGTACTAGATGATGCCTAGACAGGGCCAAATAATCCTTGTATACGTTTTTGATCGTCACTTAATAAGTTGTAAGGTCAACAACCAATTGAATAAAATAAAAATTGACAATCTTCGTACAACCAATTGTAGTAATAATACATATTGAATTCTGATTATTCTTGCCAATGTCACACCTTTTTGTTGTAGTTTGATTTTAAGTTAATATTGAGTAATAATATAAGAGTTTAAAACAGAATAATCGTCATAAGTTTCATGAAAATGCAAGAGCAAGTTTCTTTGAATAATCATATAAGCAAATTCTTTGTACGATCATACTCTTTGAATAATATGAAACTAAAATTCCTAACATTACAAATTTAAATTTTAAACTAATTTCCACAAGATAAAGCTTGTAATGCTTAAACAATGATGTCAAGCTCGGAAAGAACACTGAAAACATGCAAATTTACATATTATCATTCTATGTCAATCTGATCCCCTTTTTTCGTCCTTTTCCTCAGGTCAACTATATTATAGCCCAACTAAGCAAAAACACTTACACATATCATTGAATCCAATACATCTACCACAATCTAATATATCCACCACCATAGAGTGTGAGCCAGCAAATTTACCGTCTGACCTGAATGATGCTAGCAACAAAGATGGAGAACAAGCAATGAAGAGAAGTCCTCCACCTACTCCTGCTTTCAAGAAGAGACACCAAGGTTGTCCATCTTGCATTTTGGATTTGGAGAACTCCCCGATTCCTGATTTCCCTCCCAATGAAGTAGTGCTCAGTGTAATTACCATGGAGGATGTCATTGTGGAGCTTCTTCAGGTACTGTTTTTGAACTAGAACTGGAGAAACCATTTCTTTTGTCCACTCTATTGGAGAAACTAAACTTGTAGGGCTTGTAGCTCCTACTTACCTTATGATGAGTCCATGATTGATTTGTAGTTTGGAATGTAGTCCTGCATTCGGACTTTTGTCTCTAAGAAACTGCACTCTTCGGTAAGTACAAACTATAGCTGCGAATACCATATTTACTCTGGTGTCACATACTAAAGATGACAGCCAGTAGTAACATTAAAATTCATGTATTTGTTCAGTGCTTTCTTGATTAAAGATGATGCAAAATCTCAAAATGAATTCGAGATTCAGTGCAGTTTTTACTAATTAACTGGCAGATTAGGGGGTGGGGTATAAATTTGGATCATGGGGCTACATTGATCATGCTTACATAGCTTCAGGTGCATATCTTGATGTTTGATTCCGTTGCTTTAATTTGTACTACTTTGATAAATTTTTGGATTCCCTTTCAACAATTATGTCAATCTCTACTTTTGTTTCAGAGCAATTATGGCAATGCATACTTATCTTCGTATGACTGTTTTGTTAGCAATTAGCATACTTTCATTTTTGTCAGAGTCTTATGATTTGAATTTTTATAGTTTAACACATCCTTCGTTATTCAATTGGTTGACTGCTTTCAATTGTAGGGCTTGTAGGATGTCAAACATCGTTAAATTGATCAAAAATCTGATGAGTTGTCTATTACTAATAATGTTAAGTATGATGCGTTATAAGTATTAGTAGTATAACTATTATCTCAATTAGGGATAGTTTTAAAAATGTTCAGAATTTCTTGACTTTGAACATTCTTCTTATTCATGAACCCTTCAAGAAATTCGGTGATCGATTTGATATTACGGCCTTAAATTTTATTTCTAATTCAGGTTCTTGTAAATCAAAACTGAGAATGAATACTATTAATGAACATTATACTACAAGATGACCATAATAAAGGTGGGATTCAAACCAAAATCTTGTATTTCATAGCAAGAAAGCAATTCAAAATTGATACTATTGCTAGGACCGCTTTCCTTCTGAGCGAAATTGGTGAAAAGATCTTGAACTTAAACCATATAAGATGAGAAACGACAGCTACAAGTTTATTATAAAGGGAGTAAGATATTCCAAATATGAGCCTATCAAGGACCGTAAAACCAATGTTTCCATCTTGTGTTCTAAATTAAAGTCTAAAATATCTTATCAAATCTTGGAACAGCAAATTACTCCAGGTTAATTTCTTGCCTACTATGCCTTTATATTAAGTATAAGGATTAGATGCATGAATCATAGCTATGTAGCTTACTCAGATGGAGTTCTTTTGCTCCTCTGCAGGTGAAAAGATGTGCAGAGATGTCCCGGAATCTACAATTTTAAAGGTCAGATTCAATACGCTGGCTTAATGCCTTCTACTCATCCGACTTCACAACCAGATATTGATTTTGAAGAATTGGAGTATGGTCTCCTTGTCATCTCTGTCAACTTTATAGAGGACTGGTTTTATTTCAGGAGCGTGTTACTACTGGATTTCTTCATTGCAAGAGTTTTCACCTGCACTTGCTCTTTCTTCCATTCTTTTCTTGGCTTTTGCATTCGCTGACATCTTCGGGCTTACTAGGAATCAAATCAGTACACCAAGCGGGACAAGCAGGAAATCAAAGAGCCACCATCGAGAAGACCAAGCGTCGGTTCGGAAAGAAAATCCTACGGAAAGATTCATTTCCATATTTCTTGCCTCGCCAAGGTCCCCTTTCTTGCCTGATGCTCCCGCTTTGTTGATGATACGCCGGTATCCTTGAAAGTCCTGGCACTTTCGACTGGTGGATTTCTATGGATTTAATTCCCATACTTACCAATCTTCAGATGGTGATTGTTCTTTACTTCCAGTGGTATCGAAATTAGTTTGTTGCGATCGAAGAACTGGCATGAGGAATTAGTAATATGCAAAAACGCTTGTAAAGACCATTTCTCGCCTTCTCGGTACTAATATGCAAGAATCGGGCAATGAAGATATCAAGAAAAGGTGATATACTACCATGTACCAAGTTCAGTAATAGTTAGTTGGGTTCTGCGTTAGATCAACCAATACTTTTTTATGGGCTAACAAAGGAATTGGATTTGAGATATTTGAGATATTTGAGATATTGATGATCTTCTGCTTTTTTGTCTGCTAGCTGTGTCTGAAGTTACAAGTACTATTACAAATTGTTAGCTTTGTATTATCCTTCGCGCGAAATTATAATTATCGAGTTTCCTTTTTAATCGAGTGAATATAAATTTTGTTGTCTACAACTTGATCTCATGGATTATATGAGATTTAGCTTCATACAACTATGTTTTATTTGCATTTTAACTTTGAATGTTGACGTTTTTGTGCTCATTTTCTAAGCAAAACCCACAATTCTATTACCTCGTCACTTTTTTGGCTTTGTCCAATTGAAGGAAGTAGCACAACAACGATAAACAAAAGTGAATTCGTGGCAGAGAGGTAGAGGGGAGTGGCAAGGGAATCGATTAATACATAAGGGAATTGATTACTGTTTACTGTGCGTAACTGATGGTACTCAATTTTTATTTTTTATTTTTTATTCTTCATTGGAGTTATTTTGGTCATTCCTTCGGTTTGTTTTCTTGGAAGAATTGATTTAGAAAGATTTTATTCTTTGTTAAGGTGAGTTTTGTTCTTGAGAGTACTATAGATGAGGCAAACCAAAAAAATTTTGGTTAGTTAGTTCTCATCAAGTACTGAAGCAAATTGTTCCTTCATCAGTGGCCGATATTGACTTCATACGCGGACTTTGACCTGTATAAAAAGAAAAAAAAAAGAGCTTCCAATTGCAAAATGTGGCCGATAAATAAATTTGACAAAAAAGAAGAATGTATAAAAGTTAATCGAAGCACTTGTCGCGCAACGTGCGACGAGAAAAGCCTAGTCTACTAGTAATTGATTTCATTAGTTAGAAGAATATATGTTTATTATTAGTAGCAAAATTTTGCTAATTAAAGAAAATCATATAACAAAAGGTTTTTTCCTTTTCCTGTTTTTATTTTTTTGGTCCAAGTCCAAATCCAAATGGAAGAAGGGAAAAGATAAATCAAGGAGAGCGGAGCCTATAAATACACCACTAACCCAAGAGAACCTACCATCAGCTCCAAAATTACTACTAGTAGTATTATTAAGAAACAACAAAGACGAACGTAATTTTAAAAGCATAATATAGGGAGCATGGCTGCGATTTGTGGAGGAGGTGGTGGAGGAGCCGGCGGCAGCGGATGGCCCGTCGAGTATGACGCTGACGCGTCCCCGTACAGTAGAAACAACGACTACTCAGCTTCTCCGTTAACTTGGCATTACCCAAATTCGGAAAGAAGCAACTACGTTGATTATGCGACAGTTTCGAGGCCATGTTCGAAAATGATTTCTTTTTTTGATTTGGTTCCTTATCAATGTTATCAAAACGGCGAGGAAGAGCAGGAAAACGAGGAGGAGGAGGAGGATTTGAGTTTGAGAATGGAGAAGGTCAACCTTGTTGAACAAGAACAAGAAGAAGAATGCCATGATGAAATAAAATTCTATCACGGCGGCGCCGACAACGAGGACGTGGGTTGCAGTGTGTTTGACTTTGATGACAGCGACAGTGATATTGATGAAGACAGTGACGTGGAAGAGGAGGAGGAGGAACTGTGCTCGAAGATGAAGAGAGTTTCACTGAAGCCCACAACGGTGAGCATGAAGAAGACGATGAAGAAGAAGACTAACAGTTGGGGAAGAAGACGATCATTCGTAGAAGGGTTGCGTTTGGTTGTCTTCTATTAACTGAATGATTTTGATTTCCTAATGGAGATATTCATGTCTATCATCAACTCAAACTAATTTTTTTCCTTTTTGGATTCTGGTATATTAACCATGAATATTTTAATTCTGAATTTGTATTCTGTTTTTGCTTTGTCAACGTTTTAGCTCTTTGTGATTCACGGGTTAATTTAATTAGCTCATTAAAATAAGTTTTAAAGGTGAACCTAGCGTAGCTCTCTACCGGAATACTTGTGCAAGTGTTTCAAAGTAAAACCTAATCTTCCCTGATACAAAAGCTGTCTTTTAGTAACCTCAGTTTTGTCTCTAAGCTTGGTTTTTTGTTCACAATCTTTTTAGCATAGATATGATCAAATTGTTATGATTGTGGATGCTTCATGCCAGCAATTTAGGATACTTCTCCAGCCTTTTTGTCAAGCAGGAGAAACCTTTGATCGATCCATCAAATATCATAACTATCAAAAACCAGAATATGCTGATTGTAACGCTCTCAGCCCTGCATAAGAGATTGGTTTATTTATTTATTTATTTTCTTTTGGTATATTACGCATCTGGTGTCCGAAACCATTGCTCTGACTAATTCGAATTCGAGCCGGGTAAATCCTTTCGGAAGACAAAACTCTCCCAACAAGTATTTTAATTACTGCTGCATGCCTATGTCCGGGTTCAAACCTGGGTTATCGTTAAGTTGACTCAATACCTTTACCACTTGGACTAAGTGTTTGTTGCTTAGATTGGTTCATTGACTTGTAAGCTTCGATATTTCACCCTCCATATTTAGTAGCGGAGCTTCGAATCATGGAAAGTCAATGTAGGGACGAAAAACTATTTTAACAAAAAGAAATTATTTCAAACAAATATTCGTACTTTTAGGGGCCTGCTACTAATAAATTATTAAGCCCAAATTACATTGGAAAATATGCATTGAGACTTGAGGAAAGGGTAAAGGAAAAAAAAAAAAAAGAGTTGCAATTTATGTGATTTCCAAAATATGTACGTGGATTGATATAAATCGAAAAAAAAAATTGTATCTCGATAAGAAATGATTGTGAAGATCAAGTAAAAGTAAAGAATGAATACGAGAAACATGCTTGTTGGATATCAAATTTTTTTAATATATATATATATATCAATCTTCAAAAATGAATCAATGATTAAATCTCGTATAGTTCAATTTCTCAACATTAAACTATTTTTTTCGACAAGTAAGGAGTATTTCCGAAAAAGTAATGGTACATGCACGAAAAAAAATTACAAGGAAAGTTTAAAAATGAATGGGTCTAATCATTCTTTGTCATGCCTTGATGCGAGGCTTTCCTTGGTTGCTTTTTCTGAGTATGTACCATTATTATTTTCTAAAATCAATCAAATCTTTTTAAAATGTCGTGGAATTTATTGTCAACATATACAAGCTCCTCATAAAATGTCATTAAAATTTTTTCGGTAAAAAAATGGTCATTGAATTAATTGTCAACATTATTACAAACTCCCTGTATTCTATAAGACCTCGAGAAAAATAGTGCAATGGCTCAGAAGATAATGTTATGAATAAGCCCAGAAGAGAAGGATCCGGGTCAGATCCGAATTGCAAGAGGAAGAGAGTGATTAACAGAAAGGGAGAGATTATAGAGAGATTAGGGAGAGACAGAGATTTGGGAAAGAATACTGAAATGATTCATTAACCGACCCCCTTTCATATTGCTACTAGATTTAAGCCCGTGCATTGCACGGGTTGTGTGATGTTTAATGGCATAAATGCAAATAAATATATAGTTCACGTGATTATATTAGAAACAGAACCAAAATTTAATATTTAACTAAATTTTATTTAAAAATAGACGAATAGTTCCAAAAATAAGAAGTTGGATAGTGGATAATAGACAATGTCAAATGGAATAGCAGCAATCATTGTTGAAAAGAAATAGAATATAATAACATATCATGTAATCTTTAGCAAGACTTCTTTACCTACAACATTTGTGGTATGGTTATTCACACTGTCTTCCTTGTCCTTTATTAGAAGTTTCAACCCATCTATGGATTTTACTCTCGAAAAACAGCAATATATAATTATACATGTATGAAAACAGGTCGTTCTAGATACAATCCCACTCAAGAGGTATTGACCTTGGTTCTTATTCATTGTCATAGCAAAACAATCGACGAAAAGGAATTGTATGTGCTTTAGTCTAAAAGGCATCCTTTTGTATGATGGAGTGAGTACCATTCGGGCTGAAAAAAGAGCTTTTGTTCCAATGTTGTTGCCTGAGATAATTACATCCTAAATAAGACGACTACCCAAATGCAGAACCTGCAACCTAGTACCATTGCACAACCCAGCACGCTGATCAAAATTCTGAAGCAGCATAATAGGAGCGCCAAGCTTTAGCTCCAACTTGTAATTTGGCATACCTTGACATTGTTGAGTATTTTCGGAATATACAATTCATTAAATTCATCACTTTCAGACTTTTCGGTGTCATCCAAACTGTCTGAATGTAAGTACTCCCTTGGCTCTCCTAGTAGAATTTTCAATATATGATCATTCACACTATGCACATAATTATGTGTAGGTGTTATTTTGGCTCTGTTCTCAAAGAATTTCGGCCACCAAATATTATCCACAAAGTTGGGGTAAATAGTTTTGCAAATGAAATCAATAGATTTTTTACTTTGGTGAATAAGTAGTTCATCAGGGATCTCAATACCTGTTTTGTCGTCATTAGGACCTCCGATAAGACCATTACCAACTTTTAGCAAATATTCCAAAATTTTGTTTTGTATCTTCTAACATTTCACCTTGGCCACCATAGCAGAGCTGCATGATCACAATAGCAAACTCCTATACCAAATTCCTAAAACACTCTATAAAACCACCATATAAAAATTATTATAAATTTCCAATGAATTATTACATTAATTTCTTTAAATTTTATTAACACCCTAACCCATTATTAGATGGCCCAAAACCTCCTCTATAAAATGACCATATAAAAATTATCATAAATCTCGAATGAATTATTACTTTCATTTCTTTAAATTTTACTAACACCTTAACCCATCATTGGATGAATCTGCCAATGTCATGTGCCAAAATTTTAATTAAATGATGTTTGGCATAACAATCTTCTACACCCAAGTCTTACAAAACTTACCAAAACGATCACATAAAATTCACCACAAATTTTTAATTAATTATTAATTTATTTTATTAAAATTTTACTAACACCTTAGCCAATCATTTGACCCGCAAGGGCCATGTGCCAAAATCTACATAAAAATAACATTTTGGCAAATAGTCTCGTACACCAAAAGCATACAACACTACCTATAACCACCACATAAGATTTATCACAAATTTTTAATTGATTGTTACTTTTTTTTCCTAAACTTTTTGAATATCCTAACTCAACATTGATAAACCCGTCAGGGTTATGTGCTGAAATCTCATTAAATGATGTTTTGACAAATGATCTCCTGTACCATAATCATACAACACTTCCTAAAATTACCATATAAAAAGTATCAAAAATTTCTAACTAATTATTACTTTCGCTTCTTTAAATTTAACTAACACCCAAACTAATCATTGGATGAACCCGTTAAGGTCCTGTACAAAAATTTTAATCAAATGATGGTTTGTCTAACGATCTCCTTCACCTAAATCTTACAAAATTTCCTAAAATGACCATATAAAATTTCTCAAAAATGTCTAATTAATTATTAATTAATTTTTTAAAATTTTAAGTAACACCCAAACCCATCATTGGATGAACCGCCAAGGTCATGTGCAAAAATCTATATAAAATGATGTTTTGGCAGACAATCTCCTATACCAAATCATACAACATTTCCTAAAACCACAATATAAAATTTTTCACAAATTTTTAATTAATTATTACTTTATTTCTTAAAATTTTATTGACACTCTAACCCATCATTACATTAACCCGTCAGGGTCATGTGCCAAAATTTCAGCTAAATGATATTTTGGCTAACGATCTCTTACACCAAAATTATCCAACACTTCCTAAAATTACCATATAAAAAATATCACAAATATCTTGTTAATTCATTTCTTTAATTTTTTCTAACATCCTAATCCATCATTGATGAACCCGTCAGTGACATGTGCCAAAAGTTCAATTAAATGAGTTTTGGCTAATGATCTCATACACCTAAATCTTACAAAGCTTCTTAAAACGACCATATAAAATTTATCACAAATTTCTAGTTAGTAATTAATTTATTTTTAAAAAACTTTTACTAACACTCTAATCCATTATTGAATGAACCCGCCAGGATTCTATGCCAAAATTCTCTATCATCATGTCTTTGGTTACTCTTTTCATCACTCTAGAAGATGAATTTTTAATTAATTTTTTTTTGAAAAGGTTCTAGAAGATGAATTTTTCCCACTATTCCATTTCTTTGGTTTATTTTTCTTTCTTTCATGGTGACAAATTAAGTATATCTCTCAATTATGAATCATGAACTAACTTTTAGTCCTACGCAGTTACCATCCAAAAATGTCCCCCCCAAAAAAATCTTAAGCTCGCGGATGTCTCTTTACCTTATCTGGCCTCCTTCATTGTAAAAAAAAAAAAAGAGGACATATGTATAAAATTTTAAGTCGGTGGTAGAAGATGTATAACACAAAATAAATACATAATTATCTAATTTAAATTTTAATTTTTTACAGAATTTATATTAATAGCGAAAATCCAAACTGAATAATTGATCGCAATTCTTTCTTCCTTCTATATTTATGGCTGAACCACTTTATTTTCAAAAAAAAAAAAGATTCATCCCAGGGGACCACTTATATAAGTGGTTCGCAAATTGAAATTTTTGGTAAAACCTATTCATTAGTTAGAGGAATATATGTTTATTATTAGTAGCAAAATTTTGCTAATTAAAGAAAATCATATAGGTGTTTTCCTTTCCTGTATTTATTTTTTTGGTCCAAGTCCAAATCCGAATGGAAGAAGGGTAAAGATAAATCAAGGAGAGCAGAGCCTATAAATACACCACTACCCAAACAGAAACCTATCAGCTGCAAATCTTCTAGTATTAACTATTAAGAAACAAAGAAAAGAGAAAAGTAATTTTAAAAGCATAATAGGGAGATGGCGGCGATTAATTGTGAAGGAGCTGGAGGAGGCTGCGGATGGCCCGTCGAGTCTGACGCGTCGGCGAGCAGTAGAAACAGCAACTACTCAGCTTCTCCAATAACTTGGCACTGGCAGTACCCAAATTCGGAAAAAAGCAACTACGTCGATTACGCAACAGTTTCGAAGCCGTGTTCGAAAATAATTTCTTTTTTTGATATGGTTCCCTATCAAGGTTATAAAACCGACGAGGAGGAGGAGGAGGATTTGAGTTTGAGAACGGAGAAGGTCAACCTTGTTGAACAAGAAGAACAAGACTGACATGATGAGATACGATTCTATCACGGCGGCATCGACGACGAGGACGTCGGTTGCAGTGTGTTTGACTTTGAT